TCCCCAATGTTGGAGGTGGGGCCTGGTGGGAGGTGATTTGATCATGGGGGTGGATTTCCCCATTGGTACGGTTTTTGTAATAGTGAGTGAGTTCTCGTGAGATCTGGCCATTTAGAAGTGTGTAGCACCTCCCTCCTCTCTGTCTTGCTCCTGCTCCTGCCATGTAAGAACTGCCTGCTTCCCCTTTGCCTTCTGTCATGACAGAAAGTTTCTGGAGGCCTCCCAAGAAGCTGAGCTGATGCCAGCATCATGCTTCCTGGACAGCCTGCAGAACTGTGAGCCAATCAAACCTCTTTTCTTTGTAAATTACCCAGTCACAGGTATCTTATTATAGCAGTGCAAGAATGGACTAATACATTCCTCAAGCAGGAAATGAGAGTGTGGGTCTATATCATAGTGTGGGGTAGGGAAAAGAAGACTGTAGAACAGAGAGATCTAGAATAAAGTCCTGATTCCATGCTGTGTGATCTTGGGCAAGTCACTCAACTTCTCTGGGCCTCAGTTTCTGCAATAATCATATGAGAAGGTCACTCTAGACAGTCTCTGAATTCTCTTGTTAGCTCTGAAATACTGTCACAGAAGGAACTTCAAAGCTGCAACTTTTCCATTCTATAACTGTTCTCTGTCACCAAGAGCTCACTCTTTAAGTTCTCACCTCTTAATCAATTCTCTTCTCATTGTAATTCTCCCTCTGGTCCTACTTAGCTACTAAAATTGTTCTCTCTAAATTAACTGATGACCTTTTAGTGGCCAAATCTAAAGCGCTCTTTTTAGTCCTTATTCCACTGAGCTCTCTGAAGCATTTGAAAGCCTCATGTCTGTGATATCTGCGAAACATCTTTGTCTTTGTTTTAAGCTAAGGTTTTGGGCTGCTTCTTATACTCTCCTGTCTCCAACACCCCTCCTCAAATGAGGAGTCAAATGAGGACAAGCTCCTGTCCTCATTTACTACTGTAATCATCTCTAACTTTGTCTCTTAGTCTAACCATGTTCTCCTTTGTCTGCCATCAAGCTGGAAGAGCTGTTTTCTCAAAACACAAATCCATCAGCTCATTCCCCAATTATGACACTTTAGTGGCTCCCATTGTCCACTGATTGGCAAATACATCAAAACCCCTTACACGCTTGCTACCACTCATCATTCTAGAGTCCAGAAAAAATAACCCCTATTCAGGCATAACTTCAGAACCCTTCTTTTTTTCTTTTAAGACAGGATCTTTCTCTGTCACCCAGGGTGGAGTGCAGTGGTATAGTCAACAGGTCACTACAGCCTTGGACTTCTGGGCTCAAGCCACCCTCCCACCTCAGCTTCCTGAGTAGGTTGGACTACAGTTGCATACCACCACAACTGGATAATTAAAAAAAAAAACTTTTGTAGAGGCTGGGCGTGGTGGCTCACGTCTGTAATCCCAGCATTTTGGGAAGCCGAGGTGGGCAGATCACCTGAAGTCAGGAGTTTGAGACCAGCATGGTCAACATGGCAAAACCACATCTCTACTAAAAATACAAAAAATGAGTCAGGGTGGTGGCTCGTGCCTGTAGTCCCAGCTACTTGGGAGTGGAGACACGAGAATTGCTTGAACCCTGAGGTGAAGGTTGCAGTGAGCTGACAACATGCCACTGCACTCCAGCCTGGGTGACAGAGTGAGACTCAAAAAAAGAAAAGAAAAGAAAAGAAAACATTGTGTAGAGATGGGGTCTTGCTATATTGCTCAGGCTGGTCTCCAACTCCTGGCCTCCAACTCCTGGCCTCAAGTAATTCCCCCTTACCCCAGACTCCCAAAAGTGCCGGGATTATACTGTGCCTTGCCTCAGAACCTTCGTTAACACAGATTTCTGGACAGCCACTATCAATCAATAAGTAGCAGCCTAAGATACAACCCATTAAATCACAAACTGACCCGAGCCTGCTTTGCAACCTTTTTCCTGTCACTTTCCTTCCCATCCACACTCTGTGTCCGGGTGCTTCTTAGCTCCCCTACAGGCCTGCTCTTTCGGGCCACTTTGCCCTTGTACATGCTTAATTATTCTGCACAGAAAACAATTCTCCTACTGCAATTGCTCCCGTCTTACCCTTCTAGAGCCAGTTCAAATATCACCTCTGTTTGGAGGACTTTCCTGACTAGCCTAGGCAGAGTTAGAAAAGAAAAACTTCTTTTCCTTCTATTCACAAGACATTGCAATGATCCATTTCTACATGTGTTGGTCCTCTACTCACTAGATTATGACCTCCTCTGGCCTGGGACTGTTTCTTAATCATCTCTCTATCTTCCCTAAAGCTTTCTACAGTAGTTAGAACACATTAGGTGTCAAATACATACTTACTAAACGAGTTAAGGACTGAAAAGATGAATGGGTGAATGGCATTGCCCTCTAATAGTACATATGGTAGGTTTAGAATTAGTAGGTTCCTGCTTATGGATACTACTAGGGAAACTGCCATAGCAACTCTTCTTAGACTTATCTGGGCACAGGCATATCAGGGAAGTTCAGAATTTCACTGAAAAAGGAGAGTAATAATAATAGTAACAATGATGATGATAATAGCTAACATTATTGAATGCTTACTAAGTACCAGGACAAAATCAGCTTGCTTGAAGACTTGAACAACAAGGAGCAGGGCAGTCTTTAAGTGTAATTAAATATAAGAGCAGGATAAAGATAATTCTGAGTATAATTCTGCTATCCAAAAATAGGACAGCAGTCTCAACTCTACTGAAAGCAGCTTTAGATCACTTTTAATATAAGGGGGTCAGAGCCAAAAGTAAGACTCTTTTACACATATATCTGGACTGGGCAGTCAACAATTATTTTTTTCTTGATATCATTTTATAGCGGCTGCAGTTAAGATTATCGTAAGAAGTTTATTTTCTGGTCACATCTACATAGATGAAAACTAGTTAGTATATACTTTCCTAAATAGTGTTGCAAAGATCTAGGGGAAACATATGCTTTAGGTGACAAAAATTTGGGGGATAATGCGTGCTGGTTATTGGATGAGTCCTCTTAGAAATTCAGAATGCGTGTCAGCATATTGGGCATAAGAAGACGGCAATAAGAAAACCTATTCCGACTGAGCCCGGTGGCTCATGCCTCAAATCCCAGAACTTTGGGATGCCGAGGTGGGTGGATCACGAGGTTAGGAGTTCAAGACCAGCCTGGCCAAGATGGTGAAACTCCGTCTCTACTAAAAATTCAAAAATTAGCTGGGCATGGTTGCAGGTGTCCATAATCCCAGCTACTCACTTGGGAGGGTGGAGCAGGAGAATCGCTTGAACCTAGGGGGCGGAGGAGGTTGCAGTAAGCCAAGATCACACCACTGTACTCCAGCCTGGTCGATAAAGTGAGACTCTGTCTCGAAAAAAAAAAAAAAAAAAAAAGAAAGAAAACCTGTTCCTTGTGGCTTACCCTAGAATTCCTAGAATTCCCCATACATATTTGACTTGTGAATCTTTTTTTTTAAATAAAATGCCTCATATTTATTTCCATGGAATTAGCATTGGAAAATACTGGCTTGGGAGGTTCCTATAAACAGTCCCTCTGTGTTGGGATTCTAGCTGTGGAATATGCAAAGAGGATTGTTATGAAGACCTATCTAATTTAGGGAAGGTAAGATTGACTATGGCTTGGGCCAGAAGAGACTCATGCCTGGTGTTATTATTTATATGATAAAATTCAATCCACTATGAAGGTTGGGGAGAAAAATCCAACTCTTAATCAATTCTTTGAATTAGCAGTTTAGTTATTATGGCTATATCACAGTCATAAAAATTTATATTTTCATTTTGTCCCAAAGAAAAACTTGACCATCTTTCTTTAATATTATCAACCTGGAAGCCTGACAGTAAGGATTAAAAATTGCTCCTTCCTTCCCACTTGGTTATTGGAAAGGCTCTGAAAGGTAATCAGTCTTGTGAAGCTACACTTTACAGTCTGCATAAAAATGCCATGATTTCCCTTCCTCTCCCCAACCTAATTGAAAGTGCATAATATCACCCAGCTGGGGAAATGTAAATGGTAAACATACGCAATATATCATGCTATCACACAAAGGCTGGTTACTAATAGGGACTGGGTGGTTGTCAGAACCCTAAGAAGTCTGGAAAACAAGTCTTTTCTTCATATAGAAAGAGAGCTCTCTGTGCCTGCTACCCTTCTACCCCACCTCCTCCCTCGTCAAGCTAGTCAGATTAGTCCAAGATCAGTCAACTCATTCCTTGCATGTGTAATTCTAAGGGTCACCTAACAATGTATATTGACTAAAACTCTCTTACATCAATCTTTCAAGACATGAAACATTTTACTTTTGGCAGGAGGTGGGGTTGAAAACATCTTGTTCTCTACCTACTTCAATTGTACTGACAGATGGTCCTATTATCCCTCTCCTTAGCTGCTAAACCTAAAGATCCGTGGCCTTGTCACCTCTTATCTTTCTCTACTTCATCAAACTCCTATTGCCAAGATTATCTCTTTTTCTACCTCTGATCATCCATGAATATCTATACAGGGTCACCTTTCCCTTGAGTACAAAATCCCCATCTTACTTTTCAAAGGCCCCTGCTCCTCGGCAGCTATCTGTAATTCCCACTTCAATTACACCTACTTGGAAGCTATCATTCTCTCTTTTCTGACTCTCCACCTCCATGTGCCATGCCGTCTTCCTGAATAAATCTTTTACATTTGGTCTCTTAGGAGAAAGGACAATATTTGTTCAAAGTTTTCATCATGAGATGTCTGTCACAATATTCCTTCAAAAATGGCTCCCTGTTGCATCATGAACTCTGCTACTACTATGCATTCATGCCACCTTACAATTGGCTATGGTTTTATTTTTGATGGTGGATATCTTACAGGTTGGTCAAAGGATGGCACTTGTCTAGGGTACTGAGTCATTCCAGTTTTCATCGATTGAAGGAGATATTTTTTATCGGTTTCAGCAGTAGAGATGATTTGAAACATACTAAATTAAAGCTATATTTATCTATCACTAAGTTTATTACCTGTCAGCTGGAGCCAGTGGATGGTACGGCTTGTTGACCTTCGCATAGAGACCCTCTAAGTGGTCTCTTTCTGGAGACAGTGGACGGCCATCCCGAGGGTAACCAAATGGTCCAGCTCGAGGGGGAGATGGAGATCTAAAGACATTTGCTGATGTGCATGGTTCCCGAAAGTGGTTCACTCTGGCATAATTGGGGTCCATTTCATCATCATCCATATCGTATACTGATCCAATTGCACCAGTAGCAAAATCAAGAAGACCTCTTGCCTGCTTTTCCCTTAGCTCCTGATGTTTTGCTCCAATCCTGAAAAATACAGAACAGGTAGCAAAGATGTACGTGAGTTTCATATGATAATACAATGAAATACTCTCTTGAATTTATGTTAACTCTTCCTCGTCACTTAGCTGTCATTCTCCCGTTTACTCAAGATCACAGCATGCAGAAATGCCAACAGCATAAGAGGATTAATTTTATATATCTGATCTTTATTTGTTACAGGGTCTTTACTTTGATAGCAATGCTATGGGTACTTTGATATCTTGCCCACTGATGACTAGGCTGATAGTAGCTTCAAAGACTGATTTTCATTCACATTCCCTCCCCATAGAGAGCATGCGCTTGTGGGAAGAGTGCATCTTTGGTTCGATATTATAGAAGTCTTTCTTGGGACAGGGATGTATGTTAACAAACCCATCAAAATCCTGCAGTTTTTCTATGACTTCACTAATTTAGTGGCCTAGAGTTCCAGTGCATTCTTCTAAAGAAAATAACTTATGAAAATTGATTTAAATATGAAAAAGAAATACAGAGGCTTTCTGGTCACTAAAAGCAGTGGGATCAGGGATAATTTATAAGAGACTCTGAGTTTTTTGGTTATACAAATGGGGATTACTGTGTCTCATTATATAGGGGCTAGGGACAGAGTAAAATAGTGAAGAAATTAATAGGTTCCTGACAGAGATGAATTGGCACATATAAGTGAATTAAACACCATTACTGGCAGAACTCCACAGTGCTAAAGCCTTAAGTGATATTACAAAATGCTAGTGCTAATCAGTGCCACTGTGCAGTCTAGTGGGAATGGAAGCAGAAAAATATACTTAGGTGGATTCCAAATCCATCTGAATTTTGAGAATTTGACATTTAATCTGGAAAGTGTTAGATCAGCTCCCCTAAATTCTCAGTAATGTATTAAAATGGAAAGGTCACTATGGCCTCTTACTGGACAATGGTGATCTTGGTGGTGTGAGGAGGTCTTCAGCACTAATGAGAAAAGAGTGTAAACCTTGTCACTGGACAAACAAGGGGCACCGTGTACAAGAGGAGAGATAAGACAATGCTGGCTCAGGTGGCTAAAGAAAGTCAAGAAAAGATGGGACAAACTTAATGTCCTGGGCCCAGAGAATATAAGAGGGCTGTGGGCTAGAAGTGAATGATCTCTATATGACTGGAGACATACAGAAGGCCTGGATGAGTTAAAAAGCAACAACTGAAACCCATCAGTATCTTCCCCCATTCAAACAAAAACAGCTGTTTTGCACATGGAAGCTAGCTTTATTTTGCAAAACATCAAACCCTTTGTAAAAATCTTCAGAAGCCAGGATTTTCTGAGGTATTTTTCTCTTTTGGCCAAACAGCATTTTCGTTTTTTATTTTTTTGAGTAAGGAGGAGAAAAGAAATTGGGCAATTTCAATTAGGAAGCAAAACGCAAAAAACAAAACAAAAAAGAATAAGGCATGAGACCAAAACCAAAACCAAAACAAAACCCCAGCACCTCTCCTCAAGTTACAACAGATGAAAATAAATGCCAGGATATATTATTGCATATCTCTTTTGATTAGGCCAAACCTGTGCCCTACACATAAGTAATTAGAAGAATTTATATTTTTGCATACGGCAACTTGAATTTCCAAGGGATTCTGAATTAAGATGAAAGGAAGATTACACAGTAGGCTACCCGTTAAGGGGCCTTGCCTATTCCCTTTCAATGCATGTTAGTCCTAGATTCATGGATGTTTGTTTTGAGTAATTTTTGATAAAGAAGATAACCTGCTCCATTCTGCAACAAAACAATCTTTCCAGAGACAGTGCAGACTCGATTATCAGAGAATGCTTGCTGCACCCTGATGATAGGGATGGATTTCCATTGCAAATAGAGCAAAGGACATCAATACAGTTAGTGGGTAAGATTCTGTGTGGTTGCTATCCCTTATAAGTGAGATGCCTTCAAGAGAAATCATTCAGCAGAAAGATGAATATCTCACGGCTGTCTCATGGGGCTACACTTGTGTGCATTAATGGAAGAAGAAAATACTAAGCTTGATTTTTAAAAATCACAGAAATAGAACACTGGTATCTGTGTTCCTTATTTCATCACTTCTCTTTCTCAGAGGTTTTCTCATTAATTAAACTTGCTGAGTATGTGGAGAATCTCAGACGAAAAGTACTATGTGTATGCCAAGCAATATTTTATCTTGTATTCCTTTCCAAAACAAAACCGTTTCTCTTGGATACTCTGCACCAGTGAGTGTTTCAGAAACTGATTTCATATTAACCACTCAGTAGGTAAAATAGTAATTTCTTTGAACAATCATTATTATGTCATATATCAGGGTCCCTGCACGTTGAGGAGGACAAGGCAATCTCTGAAAAGGAGTGTATGGTGGCAGAAGAGACCAAGACAGAAGTGTCAAGGAAAATTTTTTTTTTGGTAGCTCTGACCCTCACCCCCACCCCCAATTCATGTGAGAATTTTACTTGTTTACAGTCATTTCCACTTAGAGGTTTCCTTACCACTGGGAACTCAACCTGTTAAATTATTGATTTTTCAAAAGATACCCTTTTTTATTTGACAGTACTACCAGTTTCCCCATTCTTCTGAGCAAACTGCCTTTGAATTGTTTAAATCTCCTCTTTCTCTTTTCCTCTATGGGAACATTGCTGCTTCTTTTCTCCTTAACATCTCTTGGATATCCTTTTTTATTTCCATTTCTTTCATCACAGTCGAATATTCAGGCTTTTATATTGCCCAGATCTGCACTGTCCAATATAATGGCCATTAGCTGAGTGTGGCCCTATAAAATTAAATTTGAAATAATTCATATCAAATCAATTTCTCAGTTTCACAAACCACATTTCAAGTGCACAGTAACTACATGTGGCTAGTAACTACTATATTGGACAACACAAATAGAGACTAATTCCGTCATTGCAGAGCATTCTGTTGGACTGTACTGGCCTAGATTATTCTGAGAGTTTTTGGTATGTCACCTCATCCCACTTTAATATATATCTTAAAAGACTCTGGCATAATCTTCCTTAAAGAGTATTTCTGTCATATCTGTCAGATTGAGACTCTCTAATGAGAGATGATAATAAATGATGAAGTCAAGTAAGTGACTCTAGTTCCCTCCCTGAAACTCTATAGGAACAAACACTTGAGAAATTGGGAAGAAAATTCTATCTACAGTGGAATTAGAAAACGACCATAATCTCATGCCTTGCTATGAAATTTGGACACAGTCCCAGAGGTGGAGTGCACCACCAGTTGATATATGGCTGCATCTCCAGTCAGGTACACATTTCACTGAAAATAAGGAGGGAGTCTAGAGGGGTACAGTCAATAAACTTTAATATAGTCTAAGGATAGGAATAGGACCCTGGAATTGTAAGGTAATTCTTTGTGGGGGTCCAGCTTCAGAATGGAGGAGAGGCAGAGATAGAAGAGAGATATTTCCCCTGAGCAGGTCTCCTACCTTAAAAAAAAACTTCATGGAGGTGAAGTAGTGAGAAGACAGAAGTATGAACCTGCTTTGTATCTGATAGGCAGAATTAGCAGAGATATATAAACCCAGACTCATCAAAATAGGACCGATAATCTAGGTGACTTCACTAAGAAGTAGGCTGATCTCAGACTAGCTCTCCCAAAACAGAAAACCATAGAAAACAAGACCCCAGGGCAGAGTACCCAGCAAATCTGTCAAAAGGGTATTTTGAGAGATCATGTAGAATTGAAGCTGCTGGTAACCTTAGATCACTATGCCCATGTTATTTAATACTATATTTTAGCACAGATTTAAAAAAAAAATTTAAAAAAACTTCCATATAATATAAATTTAATGGTTATACTTAAATACAGTAAAAGAAAATGTTAGAGCTTATTGCATATAGTAAGCATAAGTGCTGTCTCAAGGAGGAGAAAAATCAAGTAATCGACAAATGCGGGCAAACTCATGCTGACCTCTAACATAAACAGAGATAAAAGAAAAACACTCTCAAACATTTGAAAACACAGAGGGAATATGGTACTTATTGACCCATCTTGAAAAACTTAATAATAATGGAAAACAGCAAACTAAGAACTGCATCAAAATGAAGAATTCAACATGGTTGGTACGGCCATAATATCTCCCAAAATTCATGTGTTGAAATACAGTCTCCATCGTGGTAAGTATTAAGAGGTGGAGCCTTTCGGGAAGTGACTAAGCCATCATGAAAAGATTAATAACTTATAAACAGGCTACAGAGCACTAGCTAAGGTCTCTCTTTGCCTTCCATTGTTCTGTTCTTCTGCCAACCGAGGAAACCTAGGCAGCACCATCTATGGGCAACAGGGCCTCGCCAGACACTAAACCTGCTGGCACCTTGATCTTAGACTTCTCGGTCCCTTGAACTATGAGAAAATAAATTTCTGTTATTTTTAAATTACCCTGTCTCAGGATTTTGTTATAGCAGCAAAAATGGACTAAGATAATGGTGAAGCTGTGGAATAGCAGGTCTGGAGGTAAGCAATACATTCATTTAAATACAAAACTAAGACTAAATATCTGTGGGAACAATAATTATAGAAAAAATGTAAATATTATAAACTCTGACAATATAAAATATATTTAAAAAAATGAAAATCACAAGTTAATAAGGAAGTAATTTAGAAGAGAGTACCCTATCTTTATTTTCACCCTTCTTCATTTTCTCATTTTATAAAGCAGGCATCAGTAGTTACTGTCTAAAATTGATACATTTAGAAACAGAGATTTGAATATATTAAATATAATTACAAAGAAACCACTAAAAACCAAATTTTCAGCAGGAGAGAAATACACAAAATAAACGCTTAACCACAAAGCAGAAGTTGACCAAATGTATGTTATGAAAATAAATGTAAATGGAATAAATTTCTTTATTATCATTAAAGGATCCCAGGTATCAAAAAGAAAAACAGGCAAAGTGCTATTATAATAGTAAAAGGTGGGAAACAGTCTAAATATGCATTAACAGGGGACTACAGAAAAGTATTATGCAGCTGTAACACAGAGTGTCATACTATTCCTATACTAAAAAGAAGTAAGATGATGTATGTAAGGGTGAGGGTACTAT